CCGCAGTCATATCTTCTTTATATAACTTTGCGTAGTTCAACATTTTTACTTTATTACTATAAAAATAATTTAACATGAAACTTGTGTTATTTTCTGCTACTTAAACATGTGCTAACGTTATATAACCTTGCATAGTTCAACATTTTTATGTTATTACAATGAACAAAATTTAACGTGAAATCTGTGTTATTTTCTGCTACTTAAACATGTGCTAACGTTATATAACCTTGCATAGTTCAACATTTTTATGTTATTACAATGAACAAAATTTAACATGAAACCTGTGTTATTTTCTCCTACTTAAACAGTTTTAGATGATTCATTCTTCTATAAAATACAAGAAATATTTGTTTTGTTTTCCTATTTTAGTCAGTTATATTAACATAATATGATATGGCGGCGGGAGAGGGGGGGAGGGCAGTTATCCAGAGGGCAGTTGTCAGATACCGTTTACCACATAGACGAAATTTTATGGAAGAAATTATTGTTTAGATAAGAGTTAGCGCAATAAATTTTGCCTTAGATATTTTCTTTTTCAGACGAAACTGGCTTGTTCATTGTAATTGTAATAAAAATTGTCATTGTAGTCTTATTATTTTATCAAATTACGATAAAGCCTATAATTGGTTTGTTTATTTGTTACGGATTTCGCGCAAAACTACACGAGGGCTATCTATCTGCGCTAGCCGTCCCTAATTTAGCAGTAAGACTAGAGGGAAGGCAGCTAGTCATCACCACCCACCGCTAACTCTTGGGCTACTCTTTTACCAACGAATAGTGGGATTGACCGTCACATTATAACACCCCTACGGCTGAAAGGGCGAGCATGTTTCTTGTGACGGGGATTCGAACCGCAACCCGCAGATTGCGAGTCGAGCTCCCTAACCACCTGGCCATGCCCCCCCCCCCCTATAATTGTATTAACGACTACAAGTTTTGTTTCTTTGTTGTTAAACGCAAAGCTACATAATGGGCTATCTGTGCTGTGTCCACCATTGGTATTGAAACCCGGTTATAAACCTTCATACTTACAGCTGAACTAGGAGGAGGCACCGCTATAAGTACCGTTAAGATAATAAATGCATGTATATTTGAAACCTCACTTAAACTTTCCTAGCAAAATATTATTTGGCATTTACTTATTTATTTTATTCTATGAGCCAGTCGTGACCTAGTGATTAGAGTGCTCGGAGTATTAACCCGAGGATTCATGGTTCATGAAAACGCTCTACGCACGTTGAAGCCATGGCTGCACAACAAGATTGACTGTCAAATCTGAAGAGTTAACATGAGTGCTGTTGATTAGCTTATCAATTAGTTATCAGTTCAAAGTTAAAGACGGACCTCTGTGTGGCTTAGTTTAATATTTTTTCAGACTCAAACTGATTATTTTTTGTTACCTATGATTTTTCTATTACTGGTTTTTTAATTACTTGCGTTCAATCGAAAGGATTTCATTGTAAACAGTTATCCCTCTATGGTTTACAACCATAAATCCGGAATACGATTTTCCGCGGTGGACATAGCACGGATAGTCCCTTGGAGTTTGTAGAACTTCTAATACCAGCTAAAGTTTATGATAAATATACATTTAATTATTTCTTTAAGAATTATTAATTTTTCTTTCTCGTATACTAATGCCATTACATTAAACTTGACAGTAGTTTTGTTGATTAATTAGAAAAATTCTCACTTCATGTGTAATTATAGAGAGGGGAAAATCCCAACTAATTTAGAAAATGAATCACCTCAAAAATTTGTGCCAGTTCCACTAACAGCAACGCACGATGTATTTATTATGAGACCATACTCATCTATCTCTGACTGGGACAACTTACTGCAGTTGCCTAATCTGTTCCCTTACCATCTGTCAGCTTTCTTATGGGGCAGACAACAGCTCGTAATTGTTGGTTCTACTCAGTTAAATGTTAAGACCAGCTAGAACAGATCGTTTTTCTGTACTTTTAGAGCAATGGTAAGATCCGATGAACTTGTAATGTTTCAGTTATATGATTTTTTCATTTTGTTTAACCCAAACTGGAGTTTATTACGAGGCATTTCTCTTAATGTAAATAAATTAACGACCTATATCTCCATAATATGTTTTTATTGACTTAATATTTCGCTATTAAAACTTCGTCCTACAAGTTCATTAATCCAGTTCAAACGCTGTAGGTTATCGATAGTGAACTTGTAGGAGTTAAGCAAGCCTTAATGGAGAAATATAAATAGAGTCAATAAAGATACATTCTGGAGAAATAGGTCACTTTATTCACATTAATAGAAATGCTTCACTTATATGTGCTCTCCGTCTAAATTGTTAAACACTAAATCTGTGGTAAACCGTTTTACACAGCACCTTTCTTCCGTTGTAAATTTGTTGCCCCCCACCCAAAAAAAAACAACAACAACTACAACTATAGAGGAAAAAGTAGTTTTCTTGTCAATTTTTTACTGATATTCTCTGTTGAAGAATAATCATCAAGCATATGAGCTGACTCCTCGAAACGGGAAGTTCGAAAATATTTAGCTAGTGAAATTTAATGTGGTAAAAACGAACAAGGGAAGAAGAGGGAAACACCATTTGGTTCCTCGTGAAATCAGAACAGTTCTAAAGCAAATGAAAAAATAGATACACTTAAATGAAATCAAAACAGATCAAATATGGAAATTAAATGTTAGAACGAACAGAAACTAAAATCTTACACTTCTTCACGCCCAGAAGTACGAATAATAGAAAATGATATTGAGATAAAGGAAGAGAAAAAAGATAAGTCACAGAGCATCTTCTTTATCCATTTGCTAACTTTAAAGACCAAAACTTCTGGAAAAACATAAAGCCAACCTAGGAAAATGGCCTCCCATCGGATGGCTGTAAGTCAGTTAGTTACCAATAAGCAATTATCCACCAAAAATGACCCGGAAAAGCGACTTTGCCTTTGATAGGTAGGTCAGTCACTAACAAGCAAGTCATCCACTAACAATGACCCGGAAGGTGACTTTGCTTTTGATAGCTAGGACCAATCATCAACAGGCAAACTATCTATCAAACCTAACCCGGAAAGCGACTTTACTTTTGATAGCTGGACCAGTCACCAACAGACAAACCATCTGCCAAATTAAACCAGTAAGTGGCTTCACCTGTGATAGCAAAACCAATCATCAACAGGCAAACTATCCATCCAACCTAACCCGGAAAGCGACTTTCCTTTTGATAGCTGGACCAGTCACCAACAGGCAAACTATTCGCCAAAACTGATCCGGAAAGCGACTTTATTTTTGATAGCTGGACCAATCACCAACAGGCAAATCATCTGCCAAAATTACCTAGAAACTGGCTTCACCTGTGATAGCAGAACCAATCACCAACAGGCAAATTCTCCGCCAAAACTGACCCGGAAAGTAACTTCACCTCTAATAACTCAGCCAATCACCGTGGTTGACACAGATCTATCCTGATAACTAAGTCAATCACCGTGGTTAACACAGATCTATCTTTCCAAATAACTATCGGGATGGTAAACATCTTTAATACTTTACAACCAATATATTATACATTACTATATATTTATATATAATGACAATGCCTTTCAAAAAACAAAAACTTCCTATCTATTCTACTTGTACTGACGAAATTTGAGCCGGAAAGGCGTTGACGTCATTTTCTAATTTGATATTTTGGATTACTTGACTTTCCGGAATGCAGAGAAAAAATATGATAATGTGTGTAGCTTATTGACTTTTACTCTATGTCTAGTACCCTGTTGGGCGAACGGTAAGTCTAAGGACCTACAACACCAAAATCCGAGGTTCGATTCCATGCAGTGAACACAGCAGATAGCCCAGTGTGGCTTTGCTCTAAAACAAACAATGTATAAACCTTCACTGCAGATGAAAAGTATAAATATTGACATTTACTCTTACTTACTAGTGCCGTGAGATTACGATTATCATTGGCTTCCGAAATCGCCGACATTCAAAGACCCGTATGAATACTTAATAATGTAGTTTAATGGTACTGAGGTCGCTTCCTGGTTTTTAGATGTAAGTAAAAGACGAAGCCTAACCTTAATTATGCCATGTTATTTTATTTCCTAATAGACTTATAATTTTAATATACAAAACGAAAACGTTAATCTCGTTCTCATTAGTATTAAACACACTTTCGTTTGGTAACTTCTTATACGCCTGATATAACTATAAATTGACTTGAAACCCCAACTTTGTAACGGAAACGTAAATAACAGAGTACAAGAATATAATCTGAATCTGATACATACCTTTACATACCGTGTAATACCTTTTTCATTAAACACTGTATATCGTTTATCACTTATAATGCGTTAATCAGACAGCATAAATCAAAACTCGAAAGCTCACGAGATCAATTCAGAACCCTCACAGGAAGAAACAGCCCAACTCCAGCCGTCTATCGGACCAGGCTTTTTTTAATTTTATTTTTTCCACATCAGTGTGTATTGCCTGTTTTTCTGCGCTACGATTTCAGCCAGTATGTATTCATTTCGATGTCACTAGAACTCTCATGTCTACCCCTTTCCCTTCCCTGGCAAGGCGTACCTTATTTCGAAAAACCCTGAGTGCCACATCTTTTTAACATGGCAGAAGCAACAACAAAAATAAGTGGTTCTAAAACGGGCAAGGACAAGAATATTGCGTGGAACATTTTGTCGTTAACGTAGGAGAATAAAAACGAATAAACCGACTGAGTACCCTTGACAATTTGTCTGAAATACAGAATATTGATGATAAACTTTTACGTCAGCTAGTTATTTAATAAACGGGAATCAAGGTGAAAGTAACAGGAATAAAACAGGGGAAACGCGAAACGACAACGTGATGCAATTTACAACACTCGCTAGTAGATTAGTTATAACTATGATAAAATATTTTCATAAGTAATGTAAGTCTTTTTTTTTTACTCTTGTTATTCCTTGATTTAAAAATCAGTTTGTGAGTAACGATTGAAATCTTTTTCTCAGCTCTTGTAGTGAGGTTTATAACCAAGCGCTTCATCTGGGAGTACGATCCAACATTGGGTAAGTGGAATTTTATCTGGGAGTACGATCCAACATTGGGTAAGTGGAATCTTTATTTGGGAGTACGATCCAACACTGGGTAAGTGGAATTTTATCTGGGAGTACGATCCAACATTGGGTAAGTGGAATTTTATCTGGGAGTACGATCCAACATTGGGTAAGTGGAATTTTATCTGGGAGTACGATCCAACATTGGGTAAGTGGAATTTTATCTGGGAGTACGATCCAACATGGGTAAGTGGAATTTTATCTGGGAGTACGATCCAACACTGGGTAAATGGAATCTATACTTAGGTGTACGATCCAACACTGGATAAGTGGAATCTTTATCTGGGAGTACGATCCAACACTGGGTAAGTGGAATCTTTGTTTAGGAGTAAGATCCAACACTGGGTAAGTGGGATCTTTATCTGGGAATACGACACAACACTGGGTAAATGGAATCTTTACTTAGGTGTACAATCCAACAGTGGGTAAGTGGAATCTTTATCTGGGACTACAATCCAACATTGGGTAAGTGGAATCTTTGTCTAGGAGTACGATCCAACACTGGGCAAGTGGAGTCTAAATCTGAGAGTACGATCCAACACTGGGTAAGTTGAATCTAAATCTGAGAGTACGATCCAACACTGGGTAAGTGGAATCTTTGTCTAGGAGTGCGATCCAATACTAGGTAAGTGGAATCTTCATCTGGGAATACGATCCAACACTGGGTAAGTGGAATCGTTATGTGGGGGTATGATCTAACACTGGATAAGAGAGGAATCTTTATCTGGAATACGATCCAACAGTGTATAAGTGGAATCTTTAGCTGGGAGTGCAATCCAACACTAGGTAAGTTTGTAATATTTAGTTGGGAGTACAATCCAACACTAAGTGAGTGTGGAATCTTTATCTGGGAGTACGATCCAACAATGGGTAAGTGGAATCTTTATCTGGGTGTATGATCCAACAGTTAATCAAATTGGCTTACACACAAAGAGAGTTTTTCCAACACTGAAACCAATGTTTCCTGATCTGAAACACTCGCTCAACTACGTAAGACGATGATATTTAAAATATAAAAGACTACTCAGTAGATACCTTATCTGACTACTCGTGTTTGATCATATACACTATGTATAAATCATATTTTATCTTCTGTTCCTTCTATGCATACTTATATATTATCATCCTAATTTACATAAGCATCCATTTCTTATACATTTTAAAGGCCTTCATGTATTACACATTGTTTTACAAAGTTCCATACTTCTAGAATATATATTTTATACATTGTTCGTTTTTCATTACGGTATATTTAGAATAGAAAGCATATACGAACAATCACATTAGATAAAATTCATTATTTTGTGGGATTTATTTGCATTATTCGTTAAAGATATCGTGTCCTATCTTTCAAAAGACGCTTTGTGTTTTATCAGAGATGCTCAATTGTCACTGGTTTAATATGGTATGGCTAAGTACAGTCGTTGATATTAACGTCGCTAATTAGAAACACAGACACAAAGTACGCTTACCACAGACGTTGCAAGTGAGCATTTGTTACGATTGATGTATGTACCGAGTAAAAGTGGTCAGTACACTGAGCCAATTTCTATCAAGTTTTTATGGGTTTAAAGTCAAACACAAGTGACTTGAAAAAGCAACACAGTATAATGGCCTATCAGGCACTTTAGCGTAGGACTAGCTTTTATCTTTCTGGCAGATGAAACGATAACGGGCTTGCGAACCTAATTAACATACTTAGCTAGCATTTGTAATAAATATCGAACCACGAAATGCATTTTCATTCAGTAAAGAAAAAAAAATACTACCAAAATTATAAACCATCCCTGGTTCTGAACTGAGAGATAGAAACTAGGCAACTAATCAACAGTACCAACCGCCAATTCTTTGGCTACTCATTTCTGGTCGAATAGTGGTATTTGACTGTCACTCTTATAGTGCATTCGTGGCCCCAAAGTGCAACGAACCGCGAATCACGAATTCTCGGATTCACATCCCGAGTAGGCTAACCACTGCGCCACGGTCGGTCTCAACTCTACTTCAGCTAACCTGATGTTTTCCGATTTCATCACTTACTTACAGAAAACGTCTAAGTCAGACCACCAGCGAGTGAGAAAGAAACCATATCATTGCTTTAAGTGCAATAAATATGAAGAAAACAACTTTTACAAGCGTTCGTTCATAATAAAATATTCAGTTGTACACTTATTGATACTTCGTCTTTCATTTATCTTCTTCTTTAGTCCGTTAAAAGTTCGATATTTGATATGTTTTCACTTGAACAGACAACTCGAGCCCTCAAACAGTTTATTAAACATTTCATAAGTTTCATTTTGTGTGTGTGTGTGTGTGTGTGACTCGGCATGTCCAGATGGTTAGATGGCTCGACTGGCAATCTGTGGGTTGCGGATTCGTCTCCCCGTCCCACCAAACATGCTCGCCCTTTCAGCCGTGGGGACGTTATTATGTGACGGTCAATCCCACTATTCGTTGGTAAAAGAGTAGCCCAAGAGTTGGCGGTGGGTGGTGATGACTAGCTGTCTTCCCTCTAGTCTTACACTGCTAAATTAGTAACGGCTAGCGCAGATAGCCATCGTGTAGCTTTGCACGAAATTCATAATAAACAAACAAACATTTTTTGGTATATTACTTGCATATTTCTGTACTCTATTAATGTTATGTAAACTATATCACCTCAAACTCGGTACTCACAAACTACACAGCGAATTCTTTAGACAAACTTACCACTATATGTTTTTCTTTATTGTAATGAAAGATCTTAACGTTTGTATAACCTGCATAATAAATGTCCATAATATATATATATGTTCTATTACAGAGAATAAGTTTCATTTGTAAGTTGTTTATCATAATTTCCAGTCTGGTTCTATCTCGTAATATTACTGGAAATTTATAATACAGATTTTATTCTTGTGTCCGTTTATGTTTGATTTTTTTCCGATTTAATATTTACCTTATACAAGTGATATGTTAAAGTTCTAGCAATACATGAATGTGTTTGGTTTTTATCATCCATTAGGATTCACACTAACCCTCACTTTGGGGGTTTTTAACATTACTTTTACTGGCCAATATATTCGATAAAATTGATTTAAACTGTCTTTTCAGGAAATATGTGGTTGAAACAGCAGATAAAATTGATTTAAATTAAAACAAGTCTTTTCAGGAAATATGTGGTTAAAACAGCAAATAAAACTGATTTAACTCGAGGCAACTGCTTATAGAAACTTATAATTAACGATGTGATATTGTTAGTAGTTTATAGCAAATTACGCTAGATGAGGAAATTACTACCAGTAGCTCTAAGTTCTTCTAGTTGGCTTGTTAACTTACCTATACTTAAGAGGAAACATTAACTAACATAAGTATTCGTGGTAAAGAAAGGTGTATTTACATAACATTCCGTTTACACATTCTAACAGCAGGAAGTGAATGTGTCAAGTGTATATATTGATGGTGGTATATAAATGCAGAGCCACGAAAAAGCCATTACGTTAAATTTATACTCCTGACTTTGATATCCAAAAAGGCTTGAAACACTTTTAGTTATTGAATGGATTCTCAGAATAAGAGCTACAATATTTTGAAATTTGAAGTCAAAATTACTTTGGCGAAGTTCTGCCACGTAAAAAGGTTTTGCATTCAAAGAAATAGCTCAACCAAACGAAACCTAAGGAAGTAAAGAACGGTTTCATGTGTATCCTATTAATAATTAACAAGTAAAAAATAAAGGACTGTGTAGCAAAGGGAACTGTTTGAGAATATTCCTACCGTTATATTGTTAGCATAATTAGTCTAACGATTAAGGCAAAGTGTAAGGTCAATTTGAAACAAATTTATTGGGCTACACTGTTTGCGTCCTGTTGCCACAGGAACGTACTTCGCGCATTTGGGCCGTGAGTGCACTATGAGAGCTCTTATCAAATTATAATATTTGGTCAGGCAAGAGTAGCTAAAGAGTTGGTGGTGGATCTGTTTATTACCTGCCTTCCTCTAGTCAAGCAGTTCAGAATTTGGGGACGAATAAAGGCAACTAGTGTGTTTTGAAGTTAAGCACAAAGCTGCACAATGGACTATCTGTGCTCTGCCCACCACGAGTATTGAAACACAGTTTCTAGCATTGTAAATCCGCAGACATACCACTGTGCCACGTGGGGGGGGGGGGGGGGGCAAGGTAGGTCCCTTATAATAAAATCAATAAATAATATTCAAACGT